GTTTATAGGTTATAGGGTATAGGGTTTATACGGTATAGGGTTTCGGGTTTAGGGTTTATAGGTTATAGGGTTTATAGGGTTTATAGGGTTTATAGGGTTTAGGGTTTAGGGTTTAGGGTTTATAGGTTATAGGGTTTAGAGTTGGTTTTGCAGTCCTAGCCGTTCGGCCCCTCGACGCTAACCTAAAACCCTCAACCCTATCAATTGAAAGAAGAGGAGCTCAAGACAACAAAGAAGCCCTAAACCCAAAACCCCACAGCAAAAAACAAACGAAGCCCAGCCTGCCGGGATGGCGTCGCGCTGGGCACTGTTAGTCTTGGGCTGTCCTGGAAGCGCAGGGCTATTTAAGGGTTAAGGGAGTTAAGGGTTCATACTGTCGGGTGTGTTCAGGAGCCAGCGTTATACTCTAAGGCTTACGAGCATAGGGCTTATGCTACAGGGTATAGGGGTTGAGGAGGTTCGGGTTTAGGTTTTAGGGTTTAGGGTTTAGCGTTGAGGGTTGAGGGTTTAGGGGCTACAGGGTATAGGGGTTGAGGAGGTTAGGGTTTATACGACAGGACAGGACGAAGGCTTGAGGACTTTGGGGCTCAATGCAATAGGGCTCAAAGTAGAAGCCAGCGACTTCGAACAGCTTTATGCCTCTGCCGTTTGTCTCGAAGCAAGGTACAGGGCATCCCAGCACTCAGCATCCTAAGACCATGTTCCAAAATTTTGAGGTTCACTCTATATGGGCAGGTCTCTAAATGAAGGTCTTTTTTGAGGGTCCTTACTATAAGGGTGCCGTGCCATTTTGAGGACCTCCAAAAAGGACCCTAATTGTAGAGAGCTACCCATATACTAAGGGCCAGGATTTTTGGGGTTTAGGGTTTAGTGTCAATGCTGAGTACGGCGTTTCGTTACGGGCCTTATATGTATATCTCTATTGTCAGTATTATTCAACTGTTACTGAGATAGGGCAGTATCCAACTTTATTATGTAGAATAGGGTCTCGGGAGTATGTTGAGGGTTTAAGGTTGAGGGCTGTATGTTGCAATGCAAATTCTCCGTGGCTAGACGGGTTCAGACCTTTACAGTACGATGTCAGGGTTTAGGCCTTGTAGGTTTAGCATAGGGTTCCATCAACTACGAAAATAGGTACAACGTAGAACGTGCAGAAGATAGCATCACTACTCAATGCGGTTACTGCCAATTATATGATCATTCTTATTGTCGTGGTGCTGCTATTACTGTGCTTACTCTGGTTCAACAGTCATTGCCACTGGTCTTGTTGAGTAGCATCATTGAACTCACAGACCCGGCATAGAAACCCTTACCCTGAGACCCGGCATAGAAACCCTTACCCTGAGACTTCAAACAGTCCCAAGTAGGTACTACTTATGGACTTAAGACCCCAAAGTAGGTACTATGTGGGTTATTATACTAGAACCCTCATAGAAACCCTGGCAGCTGCAAACCGCAAAGCCTCAACCCGAAGCCGTCCTGCACCTTCTCGGAGGAAGCCGCGCTGCCAGTTCTCATCGGCACAGTCCTTGGGTTGTACATGTAGAGTTTTGAAGTTTCCTGGAGGCTTCGAGCTCAGGCTGTTAGAGAGCTCTTTTCTGAAACTGCGGGCTAGGATGGAAGCTTGGGTGCGATGTCTAAGGGCGCAAAAGCTAGCAGAGGGGGGCTTCAATAACTAGAAGGGGGTTCATTAGTGATAACGCAAGGAACTGGAAGGAATAGTATGGGTGATAGTGGGACCCACTGCATGTCAAATCCCCGAAATTTGTGGTGCCATCGGCGTGAATACTAGACCCGATTACCCATAGGCCCCCAAGTAGTTCCTTTTGGGGATTACCTTATAGGAGTCTAAATAAACCATAAAAAGGAACTACTTAGGGGCCTATGGGTAAGCTCTGCCTAGATCCCGAACTACGACCAGACCTTAAAACCTCCAACTGCAACGCCCAACCGACGAAGCGGTGAGGCTTTAGAGTTTAGGGTTTAGGGCTTAGGGTTTAGGGCTTAGGGTTTAGGGTTTAGGGTAGAGGCTTTAGAGTTTAGGGTTTAGGGCTTAGGGTTTAGGGCTTAGGGTTTAGGGTTGAGGCTTTAGAGTTTAGGGTTTAGGGCTTAGGGTTTAGAGGGGAGTCTTGAACTTGGGAGTGCAGGTGCAGTGTAATGTAGGGGCCTTGAGAACTAGAATAAGGTTGCGGGGGTTCGACTAACTGGTACTCACTCAGGCTTCTATCTATGTATATATGTATGTATAGATAGATAGATATAGATGGATTATATATATATATGAATAGAGATAATAAGATAGATAGATAAATAGATAGATAGATAGATAGGTAGACAGATAGACAGATAGATAAATAGATAGAGGGTTTGTGGTGAAGGGTTCAGGGTCTCGCGTTCAAGGTCAGGATAGGGGATTGTAGTGTTTTGGTGTATAAGCGCAGTGAAGAATGGTATCTTGAGGGTTTCCCAGATACCCATTCAAAATGGAAGCCCCAACGCCTTGGAGCGCTGCCCTAGACTCTAAGCACCAAAGCCGAAAGCCTAGGCCGTATAATACATCCTACACCAGCCAGGGATCAATTGCCGGACGTAGGTAAGCAGGAGGGTGAGCACATCCGCAACCTGCTCGTGAGCTACTGTTGATGATATAAATCCTGCATTACCTTAAGGACCCTAAACTATGGGAATTATGGTATATTCCTTATTATGGGTAATGCAGGGTTTATATCATCAACCGTAGGAGTTGTCTTTTGGGTTTGGCCCGTGAGTCCAACCAACCTCAACCTCCCATGCGACGAACTTCGGGTGTACTTGGAGGTTCAGGGGTAGGTATAAGTGAGGTGATAAGTCCCCTGCTATGGGTCATAAATATATATTTAGCCTATGGACCTTCAACCGCTACAACTCTGAAAACGAGAGTCCTCACCCAGCATGAGCAAGGCCCCAAACATATACTTTAAAGCCCTAAACCCTAGACCCTAAATCCCAAATCCAATTGATGGTTTTGGATGTCCGAAGGCAGGGGCTCTCCCAACAGTCCATGTGCCAGTACAGACAACTACGGTTTCCATTGTCAATGGTTAGGGTTGAGGGATTAGGGTTTAGGGTTTCACTAGATGACTTCCTGCAGGGGTTTTGGCCAGTAGTACCCCGGAGCTCCACGACCAAAAGCCCATAGTTTTAGGATTCCTTCTTATGAAACTGGCAAGCCCGAAACCGAACTCCGCATCTCCAAACACCAGAACCTAACCCTAAACCCTCCTAAACTCTATAAGGACTCATCTCCTAAAGTCAACAAAGCTCAGGAAGGTAGAGCTGCCAGTTCGCTGTTTTGGAGAGTCTCGATTACTAATAATCAGGTACTTGGGTTTCGGATAGTAGCCTTGTACCTTAGTACTGGGGAAGTAGCTGGATACCCGTAGGGTTTAACATGAGAGGAACCCTCATGTGATTTATGGAATGACAACTGACATATGAGCGGAACTCAAACGCACTCCTTGACGAAGGGGCTGGGGGTCGTCCCTGGTCCTTCCCATCCCTACAGCCTAGACCCTTGTGAAATCCACGCTGAGGCTGTCCAGATTGAACATGTTCGTGTTGACACTTTCATAGAAAGCTTTCTCGCCATCGAGGCTCGAAGGGCCTCCAGGGTGGGAGGGCTAGAGGTACTGCAAGGCTGCAGCGCATGGTCCCT